ACACAATTTGTTTACACCATACCAAATAACCTTAAACTGTCAAATTTAAACGCAGAATTGTTAAATTAACTTTTAAATTTGTCTTAGTACTTAAAAAGCAACATCCTGAAATATGTATCATGATTCAAAAATTGATCATTGATGACTAATTTATGAATATATTCTTCGGACTAACATACTTAAAAATGTATGTAAAATACATGAACACCAGTTGGAAATTGAGTTCATTTCTTGTGTGAATTTCAAATTAATAAATCTTTTATGTTTTTGTAGGGTTAGTAACTTTATTTTTGATGTTCAATAATAGGAACACACTTTGTATGTATGGAGGGGAGGGCACATGTATACGTATATATTATTATATCATAACATAACATATAATAGAGAATAAGAGTAAAATATATTATTTCCTAACAAATATTTTTCTAATAGCAAGATTTCATAATTTTAATAAAAATTCAAAAAAATAGCATTGAATTTAAAATACTGTTTATTTATGAAGATATTTTATATTTTTTCTCATTTTGTTGTGTGGGAGAGGTTGAGGTCTCATAAACGTTTTAAATTATAAAACATTTCCCCTGAAGCTTAACAATTATTGTTACTTTGCATTTTCATTATTATTCACATTTATCATAACAGAGAAAGATATGTTTTAGTGATTATCCGATTAGTGGCATCAATGTGTCATTCCTTAAAAGAGAAAGCTTTGGTTAAAAGTCAGAAATTGGCCAATTGCTCTGTGTTAGAGGGAAGCCACAAACATCTCTAAAAGGCAATGGGAATTAGGAGAAGTAACCGTTAATGAAATACTGTTATTCATTTTAGGGTTTAAATGTGATATTGAAACTTTTGAAACTTATTAGATGTACAACAGTTTAATCATTAAAATTATTTTTGAAGATTTTCTATAAACAAATAAAAATGAGATCATGATAAAAGTGATGGAAAAGGAAATAGAGAGGATATTTTTCATTCATATAAACAGTGGTTGTGTTGAAAACATCAGCATTAAAATTTCTTTTCAGAACTGTATTTTCTTGAACTCAAGAATACAGCAAACAGGACAAGTTTTTGAAAATGTTAAGTGCTGCCTTTATGGCTGCCTGCACAAATTCTCAGAACTATAGCTACAACTAGTAAGTAATGAAATACGAAGAGTCAGAGACAAAATTAAATAACTTAAATAACATGAGATTTACTTAAAAAGTATCCTTAAGATTATTTATTAATAATATTAAATTATTGATTTAATATAGAAGCATTAATCAGCCTTTATTCATCTATAAAATAGACCATAATGCCTCTGTTCGAAGCTATTCTAACATAACAATCCATTTATTTTAAAACTCACTAAGACCAGCATATCTTGTTAATTAAATGATTTTATATTTATAGTATAAGTCTTTTTCCAAGTACTTTTTCTCAGTAAGTGTGCACACACATCATATGTTGATTAAATCCATGAAATCTTTGGATGTTCAATATATGTTTAGTAAAGAAAGAATAATACAGTTTTGGTTTAAGGTTGAGACTACCATCTGTAATTATAAATTATGATTTTCAACCAATCTCTTCTTGAGAAATCTGAGATTGTAGATACTGTTCGTTATGCATAATACCACATTCTTCTAGATTCTTCAACCCCAGTACGTATGTTCATAGCCTACTATGGTATAAAATCCAACAGAATCTTTGAACTATTTAACCATATGTATATTGATTTTTAAAATGAGCTTAATATAAGCATAGTTAAAAGTAAATACTTAATAACTATATACCAAGCAAAAATATTGGGGATTAAAAATAAAACTTATGAGATGGCAAAAGCAAATAGTAGTGATTATAGTTTAAAAAATTGTGTCTGGTTAAGAGGAAGCAAAAGAATTGAAAATATCAGTTGATTCAATTTCCTTTAAAAATAAAGTAGGGATGAGACATAAGGATAAACATTAATTAGTTTGGGTACATGTCAGTATTTAATAACTGAACTCAATACTACAACTTAAATAAAATGTAAGTAACATATCTGATAAATTTTCATTTTACTCCCTTTCACAGATGCCCTGTGGCATGGTAGTTCTCTTTCTATACACTAGGGGGAAGTGTGACATAGTTACTCTGGGAGGGTGGTAGGCAAACTGTCTGTGGGGATGTATTTCCTATCACTGGTTTCTCCTTAGACACTGTGTTTTCTTCCCTCATTTGTGTAGCAGCATTTCTAATGAATTAAGGCTAATCAATAAGCCATATTACTCTTTCCCTGAAATGTTTTCATTCTCTTGTTTTTGCCTTATCGTGAACCTAAGTAAAGATATTTTATGAATTTCCTTGAATTAGTATATGATGCAAAATAGCCATAGATTTGTCATATTAAAAAAAAAAGTAATGATTAATAAGTGAGTGTGTAATTACTACTCTTTATTTAAGTTAACTGCTGCTTTTAAAGCATCAAAGCCTTAGCTGCCAAGATACATGTTTTGGGACAGAGGTACAAAGCCCAAAGAGATGTAAACGTTCAGTTGCACAAAGCAGCATGGTTAGATACCCACTCAGCAAAACAACCCAGATTTCTACAAAGCTTTAGCTTCCCTAACAAAAACACATGCACAAGCTACCTATTTAGAAAATACAAAGACACTTTAGGATTTGAAGGTCTGGCTGTAAATAGCTCCTCTTCAAATTATTAAACTGTTAAAGATCATCTCTTTAAGGGAGTGATGAATTTTGGATTCAGATTAGATTATAAACTCAGACTATAGGTTATTTCATTGAATCCTCCAGGAAATAAATAGCTCCTTTACTTGAATCTTGAAGCAATTATCCCAACAACAATCATCAGAACTTTCTGTAATTGTCTGGATTTGATTTTCTTTGAATCCTGAATGATTCATGTAACAGACTTGTACGTTAGTCATTCACAATTTATAAATGGCAACTTAACTTTAGTATTTATGAATTGCGATCAATACTCTAGCAATCAAAACACTCACCTTTTCTATTTCAATACTTCAATTTTCTTTTTCCTTCTAAACTCTTTCCCAGAACCACAGGATCGCGAGCAAACCAGTCTTCACTTGTGGATATTTATGTTAATAGTTTGGGAAGAAAGAACCTCTGAGATTGGAAACTGAAGTTGATGAAGTAAATGAATCAGGAGCCTCTGTGTATGGGTGTGTGTGTGTGTGTGTGTGTGTGTGCGCGCGCGATGGTGATAGTGGTGGTAGTAGTGTTACTAAACATGAATCTTAATGGATCTCCCACTGATCTGTCTTATGGTTCAGCTTTCATGCATTGGAGCTTTAGCAAATGTGGTTATCAACATTTATTTTGTATTGAGATGAAATTCAGATTGCCATATAGAACTTCAATAACAAGATGTAGTAGAGTAACAAAACAGGGAAAGTATGGGGGGGGGGGGAGAGGGAAATGTCCCCTTTACTTTAAATCTGGACTGAGCTGCAGGAGACAGAAAAAGGTAGAGTCCTAAGTGTTATTTAGTCAGACTTAAGCTTTAACAAACTACAAAGCTTGAATTGACAGTGAGCCTTTCTCCTTAAAGGAGAGGAGTTTTTTCCTCTGGGGAGACACGGCCTCTCTTTCACTGGGCTTTTGCTTTTCTTCTGAAACACTTTCATAATCAAGTGACTTTCCTTGCATGGGTGCCTGGGGACAGCTGATTTTTTCTCTGAGGATAAAGAAAGTTACATATTGATTGCTGTTGCTCCCCGTGTGTTTGCACCAGCTCCTGCAGAAGCGGGAGCGCGAGCGCCCTCGCATTCACACACACTCGCTTAAGTACACCTCACACACCCCAGAAACACGCATACACACACACACACAAACACACTTACACCACACACACACACACACACACACACACACCCCTCTGCACTTGCAATCAGAAGGATCCACACGCAGTCAGATCTGCACCTCTTGGCATAGGTGTGTGTTTGGTACCGGTGTGTGTGTGTGTGTGTGTGTGTGTGTGTGTGTGTGT